ACGCGTCTGTGTCATTCACGACTGCTCGTTTATACACCTCGAATAAACACGCCAAGTTATCCTGACTGTTTCTTGACATATCCGACTAACTGACTGTCATTTGACATAACTTCTGACCTCGTGTGCGTCTATTCAGGTGACGAAACGTAGCACTGCAATACGAAAAGGCCACCAGTATTAACAGTTATTTAAGTTATCCGACCATCCTTCGGCATAACTTCTGACCTCGAAAACCCTGCAATACGTGAAGCTCTTCAGATATTATTAACATTTATTCGAGAAGCTCTTCAGCCAATAACAACAGTCATAGTAGAAACCCTTCAGCCATTACGTATCGTTCCTTTCAATCCTGGTAGCCAAGAACCATCAAAATTTCAAACAAGGAGCTCGACCTTGAAGTAGCCGACAAGGGTCCAGCCAAATCTATTCCCAAAGGGGCGCAGAGCCATTAGTAGCGGCTTCCAGGCGGTAGGCATCCGCCTGGCAGATCCCAAATAAAAGGCCGAGCAAGTACTGCAGTGCTTCTACTCCTTCGCCGTATGAAGCAAAAGGTAGGGAGAAGAGGAGAGGAGAAGAACAGGACTTACACATCACATGATTGGACAATGGAGCCCTTCAGAAATTTCTGGCCCATACCATGCACCACAAAGCAAAGGTGTGCAACCTCCGATTGTCGGTCGTCTAGAGCTGCCTCCTCAAAGTAACCTCGGCCCAGTTTAGTGCCAGCTGAAACGTGTGGGTGAAGACAAAATGGCCAACATTAGAGGAGAGGGAGAGGAAATAAGGTATAAAAGACAAGCAAATTACAAAGCGCGACGGATAAATGGATGCGTTCACATGAAAGGGTTTGAGGTTCCACTATGAATGTATACAAGGTAGTCGAAACAAAGCCCACGGCCATAACATACCTATAAATGGGAGATAGGCATACACCGAGCAGTTAACGGACATACTCTTCCGTCCATGGGGCCTTTGGAGCTCACACTCGAGCCTTCTCCGCAAGGCAGCACACATTACCAACAAAGACGAGGCAGACTAGGATGGCCATTTCTTGCTTATTAGTCGTCGTCAGTTAGTCATACCCAACCCAAAAGTTGCCCCAGAAATTGGTGCCCCGCTCGAGGTTCGAACCGGCAGCCTTATTTATTAGAAGTCCAACGCTCTAACCGCTGCGCCACGGGCTCGCTGTCTTGTCGGATTTTGATCGGGAATATACAGTGGCAGGGTACGAATAGCTGACGACGGCTAATAAGCCAGAAATGGCCGCCTTAGTCTCCCTTGTCTTTGTCGGTAATGTCTTTCTGCCTATACGTATAAATATATAGAATAGGGCTGAAAACATGATGCCAGGATAAAATAGTATGTGGCAGTCCGCGATCAACACCATTGCGCTGACTCATCTAGCCTTCGCTCGCCAAGCCTTGGGTCCTCTCGCGTGACAACCTGTCCTACACACTCTTTGCCAACCGCTGCTAGCGGCCCGCGGTGTCCTGTCCGCCTCACGCTCCCGGTCAGCTCGCCGCTTAAAGTGCGCGTAAGCTCGAACAATCAGTGCGCGCCATTTCAATCGATGGGCCGTAGGTGATCGAGGATACGTCGCTAAGTCAAGGCTTCCCAACAGCGCAGACACACACTGTCACAATTTGCCTGAGGGTGCAGCTGGTTTCGACCGCTTGGCAGAGCCTTGTTAAAGCTCATTAGTAGCTATTCCAACCTACTGCCTTCCCTGACTTCTGATTTGGGAAACTTTCATATTGTCGGCACAAATGAAAGGAGCGTGTCGTCATCAACGCAGTTAACTGAAAGGTTCCAGCTAAAAAACTGTAAATGGCTTCATGTGTGGAGATGGCTAACCGGTTGATTTTGCATGCAGACAGCATTAAAGACGGTCTGTGGGTTGATTTTACAGTCTAGTTTTACGTGATAGCGCTAGCGGAAAACAATTCGGGGTCAGTAGCCGTCGTTACAAGAATTAATCGATCACTTCGCGTGCGTCCGCGGTTCCCTAAGGACATTCGGCGTTCCCTTAAAACTATGCAGAAATCAGTTTGCCCTGGATAGCGGTGTAATGTTTGGAAATTAATTCGATTTAACTTTCTGGTAGGAAGCTCACATCACAGATTCACCTGAACATATACGGAAATGTTCTGGTTTACTGTCTACTATGAAAAGGGAGCCCCTGTTCCGCAGGGAAATTGGCCGGTAAGGCATGCTGGGCTAGTGAGAAAACGTAGTAGATCGTGTAGGAAGGGACGCGGTCGCGGAAGCAAGAGCTGTATTAGC